AGTGCTGTCCTCTGAAGATGCCGGCCACAGAGACTGGCGAAATGTTAGGAAGAACAACCTTCGGAACACGGCCAAAGAGCCCGAAAAACCCACAACAACCATTAGATCCCAGCCGTGAAAACCTTCACGAATACCTCTCAAAATTATTCTGAAAACACTATAAAATGCACTTTAAAGGTTATTTTCAAATGCAGCTAGAAAAAGTACTTATGACATCAACCAAAGCAGCTTCACTCCTGTTCAGTATGTTACTTTTTTAACAGGTGGAACACAGAGATATTGGGAACCAAATTGTGTGGAGTGCTCCAGTGTTCTTCCTTAAGTAGCTGGGGAATCTGCCCCAGGTGTTTTTCCCTGTGTGTTGCTGTTGTCATGTAAGCAGCAGTTGTCTCTCTTTGACCTCAGGTTATTAAATCAGGAATGAAGATGTCAAAAACCTTTCTCCTTCCACTGGACCTGATCCTTTACACGATTGACTTGCCTCTAAGATTCCTCCAGCATCTACAATATTTCATTTTGCCAGAAACAATCTCGTTATTATTGGACTCCCGCTTCATCACAGGAATATTAAACACTTGGCTTAGAAGTGGATATTTATTAATAGCAGCCAGATTAATAACAGCTAGGAATTGGAAATCAAAGTCTGAATTTCGAATGGACGAATGGTATAATGAAATATGGAACATTGCTATAAATGATAAGTTAACTTGTTACTTAAAGGTTAAGAAGGAAGAGATAAAAATAACAAATTTTATGATATATGGGGCAGATTTATTGAATATGTGCTAACAAAAGGAAAAGTTCTGAATCAGGAATCAATGCAGTTCTGGAGAAGAGGACAATAAAGGAAGAAGAAAAATAAAAGACAATGGAAGAAGAGGATTACTGCAAGAGGTCCCAACTATGGTGGTGGGAAATACAGTCAATTTGTATTTTGGTTTATGTATTTTATGTTTAGTTAAAATAAAAAGTTAAAAAAGAGGAAGTGGATGTTTACAGTTTGAAACAACATGAAGGGCAAATGGCAACTAGATATTTCCTCAGGAAACAGAGAAGAAGGGATGGGGCTGTAGTCTGGCAAGTGGCCTTTTCATTCATAAGTAACAGAATGTTGCTTGGTCTAGTAAATATGTTCTATCTGATTACTCTTTCCATGGTTCCCCACTCAAATCTTCAGTTATGTAGTAAATGCCATCATAGCGTCCAGAGAGAGAAGCCTTTGCTCATTAAAGCATTCATGGATTTAAGAAGTCCATTAGCATGGAATTAAGTCTCGGAGCACAAGTGGACATGTAAGCCTGCATCGATTCTTTTCTTAGATGGCCATTCTGAGGACGGGGTGTCCCCCCCACACACACACAATACCACCCCAGTCTCAGCTGGGACCCATTAATTCCCCTTAGCGGCTCCAAGCCCGTATAGAGCCGACAGATGCTCTTACCTCCAGCACCATCTCAGTCATTTGGAAGCGCCTCTGGGAGCTTTTGTCAGAAGCCACCGGCTCATGGAGCAGCACTCCGAGCATGTCATGTTTCTTCAAGGCCTGCTTGTAGTTCTTCTCACTCAGGTCAATGACACGATCCTTCCCATCGTAGGTCGGGAAGTCCAGTCCTTCTTCTGCCTTGCAGCAGGTGAGGGCATAAAAGGCAGCCAGGATGCAGCAAGCTGTGTTCATCCTGGATCTTTTCACCTTTATCTTGGGGAAGACAAAGGACTCCCCGTTGAAATGCTGTCGAGGTGCTCTCTGGGTGCCACCTTTCCTATGAATCCATCTAGACAGACGGAGGTCACCGGCCAGCAGCCCCTGTGGACTAACAAGGCTTGTTTAAAGACAAAGGCAAAAAGACAGACAGGAGAAGCTGGAAAGCCAAACCCTGGATACCTTACATAGCTCGGCTGGGCTTCTGTGTCATGAAGAACTCCATTTTTAGGAAGCAGTTGTTTCCGGCTATTAATAGACTCCTGCAATGAATAAAAAGGAGAGATAGGACATGATTGAGGGACTTTGCTGGCACTCAGCTTCCTGAGAGAGAGAGAGAGAGAGAGAGCACAGCAAAGGGTAGAGAAAGAAGCACACATTGCCTCAGTGAAACAGAAAACTCACAGGCATCTCTAAGGTTTTCGGAAGGCTATGTGCTACCTCTTTGGACCTGGAAAAATGACTTTTCTTAAAATACTTGGCTTCTTGATTGACTCACAGCAATTAGGGATTTGCCAGCCTTGACGCGTGATTGAAAGATGTTCTAGTTGTCTTATTTCTCATTCATCTCTGTAAAGGAGGATTAAATCTCCAGAGGAGAAGCAGCCCTGCCGCCAAGGTCACTCGCTGTTTTCCTGTGGGACTGGAGCAGAAGGACCCCTTTTGAGTTGAGAGCAGGGCTGCGACTGTGTACACCAAATGTCTGGGACTTCTGTGGAGGATTGGCTTGAGTAGGGTTGTTTGGTTTTGTTTTGTTTTTAATTGAGATAAGGGTGTGACATGACAAGAATGAGGGAGGCCTGTCCTGTCCCTCTTGTTCTGCTATAAATAGAGGTGGGATTTAAAGTACATCAGGGATAGAGCAGAACGCTTGTTTCTGTTTGGGGTGTGGGGGGAAGGAGATTACTATTTTTAGCCATTTCCCCTCCCGGCAGAATTGATCCCATTCCCTGTCATCTACTAGAATCGTTCCTTCTGTGCTGGGCACTCTGACATTTTATCTAGGGATTGAATGGCAGGCCTTGCTTTGTACTTTGGAGAGGGGGGCCATCAGTACCCCCAGGGCACCTTGCAGTATGCTTGGCTCCAAAGATCCCACAGAGCCAGGGGTTTGGAGCGCTTCCTGCTTCAGAAATCAAGACACATACACACACACACCGGGAGCAGCAGCAGGACATCAAGGGCTCGGTCTTTAGAGAAGGAAGTGGCACAATTCAAAGTCCTAAGGTGGCCACTTTGGCCCACTTTATGGACAAGGGACATGGTGGCGCTGCGGGCTAAACCTCAGAAGCCTTTGTGTGCTGCAGGGTCAGAAGACCAGCAGTCGTAAGATCGAATCCACGCAACGGAGAGGGCTCCTGCCGCTTTGTCCCAGCTCCTGCCAAACTAGCAGTTCGAAAGCATGCAAAATGCGAGTAGATAAATAAATACCACCTCAGTGGGAAGGTAAACAGTGTTCCGTGTATAGCCGCGCTGGCCACATGACAATGGAAACTGTCTTCGGACAAATGCTGGCTCTATGGCTTGGAAACAGGGATGAGCACTGCCCCCTAGAGTCGGACACGACTGGTCAAAAATTGTCAAGGGGAACCTTTACCTTTATGGACAGGCTGGCTAGGAATAATAACTCACAATTTGCTGATCACCTTAAAAAGTCACTGCTCCCATTTACTCTGTCTGAATACAGGAAATACATCACAACTCACTCCAGCATATGCTCCTCCTCAAATACGGTGCAGCAAACAGAAGAGAATCATTGGATCCAGTTAACGTCCGGTCCACACAAGTGCCACATGGAGCCCCTCCTTACTTGTCTGAAGCTCCTGCTCCCCGACAAAACATACCATTTCTCAAGTAGCTGGGAGTGACCCGGCTGTCTCTCACTACTGACTGGAGGTAGAAAGGGCTCCCTTTTAAACTTTTGCTTGGTGAATGGGGGCAAGGAGTAAAGGTCAGCCCCGGGCTGAAGGTACCAGACAGAGCTTCTCCATCCAGAGTTTTGGGAAGAGATTTGCTTGACTGTGGCAAATACAACACTCCATGAAGGTTGCTGGTATTTATCAATTGAAGCATTCCTGCTGACTGTAAAATATTGTTAAGAATGCATATAGGATTTGAACCAAGCCCGAGGTCTGGCCTGGATTGGGTCCCTTCAGACTAGTACTGGTGCTTTCTGAGGCAAAGCAGGCTTCCCTCTGAAGCTACAAGAACGCAAGCTATATCCCCCATGGAATTTCTTTCACAGTTTAGAAAGGTAGAAGAAACTAATCAACAGATAGCAAAAACAGCCTGTTTTAGATTTTGTTTTTGTGAAAATGTGCAGGGTGGGGGAGAGGAAGAATGGCAGGGAGTCGTCCTACGTGATCAGGCCGTTACAAGACTGACGTGAGGGCAACAGCCCTCTTGCACAGTTGTTTCCCAGTAACTGATATTCAAACACATGTTGCCTCTTATCTCAAAGGTACCATATAACCATCACAGTCTCTAAAATAAAATCAGTGTTGTCGTTGGTAAGGTATATTTGCCTCCTTAACCTTGTATTCTCAAGATTAGTATAGCATTGATGCCGTTTAAAAAAAGGAAGTACTTTTGCATACCTGTACGTTTATGCCAAGGTGGTGTAGTGGATGGCATGATGGGCTAGGACTCTGGAAAACAGGGTTCAAATTCCCACTTGGCCATGGAAATTCCTGGGAGGGGGGCAGAACTTGTAGAGCCACTCCTAAAATATTTCACTTACCTTGAAAGCCTTGGTAGGGTTGCTATAAGTTGGTTCCGACTTGACAGCACAGGACAGATGAACACATTTATCTATCACAATCATGTTATTGATTGATTTAAAATGTTCTTTTTAAAATATGATTAAAATAATCATATCTCACCTTTCCTCCCAATACTAATCAAACTGTATAAAAGGGGACATTTTGGTTCTCTCATATTGAGCCATTATTAAGATATAAAATGCATCTGATAATGCTTCTTTTTCCCCCATTCACAGGTTTTCTTTCTTCTCTCCACCTGTTGTACATGCTGAAGGTTGCTGTAAAGTCCTTCTTTTCCCTCAACAGCCTTATAGCAAACCAGACCTTAAACTTGTGGGTGCTATTATTTTCAAACACTCCCTCGCTTCCTTCTGTGAAGCCTGTGTGATGTCTGGTTGAGAGAGAAAGCACAGAAAAGATGCAGTTGCTTCAGTCTGTCACTAGATAGAGATGTTGCACAATAATCTAGAGTCAACCAGTCAAGCTGGAGCACAATGTTTTTAATAAGATTCTCCAACTAATGAGGATTGTTGCATGACCAAAAGCTCATCATTTGGGGAGAATTAATTTCATGTTCCATCTGCCTACGTGGTGAAGTGGTCTTTGGGTTGTTCCATCAGTTGCTTTTTGACTTTACCATACTGACAGCTGTAGTCCACACTGAATTTTGATAACTGAGATTATAGTATTAGGCTATTGCAATAATTGATAAAAATTAAAACTTACAGGGAAAGTAGCGGTATGTAAGTTTTCCATTTTTTGTGTGTTGGGATTCTGTTCATTAACTTCATTATAGAAACTCCATTTGTCTTGTGTTTAAGTCCTATTTGTTTCATGTTTTAGTCTCAGACCTTTTCTTTTTCTTTCTTTCTTTCTTTCTTTCTTTCTTTCTTTCTTTCTTTCTTTCTTTCTTTCTTTCTTTCTTTCTTTCTTTCTTTCTTTCTTGGGATTTTTCCCTATCTTGAGATAGATGCTGCTGTTAGCAGCGGTAGAGGTAGTGAATAAGCAGTGCGAGTCCCTTGCAGTGGTTACCATTTGGTTGCATTCAGGATCCTGTAGACATCACATAATTCATTCCATCACACTGTAGAAAGAAGATGGTAGCCACCTTTCTGAACTTGAAATGGTGATTGCTGCAGACAAGCCAACATCTGGAGCATTCTGGGGGAAAAACAAAATGGTGGCCACCAAGAATGTCCATACAACACAAATACAATTGCAGCCATTTCACCAGAGAAGACCCTCCCCTCCTCAAACGGCATCTCTTTGTTGTCTTCTGAATTAATTTCTGTACATAGAAAAACTGAACCGAAAAGGCGCTCCTCAGTTCACTTTATCCTTTGTCCAAGAATGAATGAATACACACTCCTAAAGGAAGCTCATTATGTTAGAGATCTGGGTGTATGTGCTTCTCTCTTTTTTTCTTTTTTTGTTTATTTGTTTCGGCACCATTCAGAGAAGTGATTTGAACAGATGTTCCAGAAAAGATTAAGACTACGGTTATTAACAACATTGCCAATAATCAGAACATTGTATTAATTTTTCTAGTACAAATAATAAATTCATAAGGATTTTAGGCCTTTTGGCTAAGATCAAGTGTAGTGTAGCATTTTGACAGCTTGTGTGTTGGAGGACTGACTGAATCTTGGACCGGCTCACATCTCACCGGTGCCATAAACACATCACATTGCCAGTTCCAACTGGAGTAGGCCCATTGATTCAATGGGAGTGACCATTCAGAAAGTCATTGAATAGGTCTACTCTAGTGTGGAGCCTCTATAATTAAAAAAATATATATAAACTGCCCAGAGAGTGTTTTAAGCGCTATGGGGCAGTATATAAGCAGCAGACTTTGTTTTCTAGGTGGGACTCAGTTGGAGACTGGCAAGTAAGAGATTTCAGGAAAGCCTCAGCCATAGCTTGAAATTTTTTAAAAAAGAGGAACTTGTGGTTTTTAATTACTTTCCAGCAGCCAGGCTGACATACTTATTGGTGCTGCTAATAATCATTTAATTTTTTGTTGGATGAAAGGCAGGGCATAAGTGAAATAGAATGAATAAGGTAGAAGTTACCAGAAAGTGAACAATATAGGGCAATTCTGTAGTGCTGTTGTGACCTATTCTGCTGTTGCGATTTGCAACAGCTAGAATAATGATTCCCAACCTTGGGGCCCTAGACGTTTTTGGACTAAAATTCCCAGAAGCCTTCACCAGTAGCTTTGCTGGCCAGCATTCCTGGGAATTGCAGGCCAAGAACATCTGGGAAACCAAAAGACAAAACCATAGAATACTTCTTTTCCAACTAGGATTGCCAAAGTTTGCATAACTTGTCATGGCTAGTTCACAAGGTGTGGGGGATGTCTCAGTGGTATGTCTGATCATGCATCCGACTGCATGCCTGAGATGTGCGCCAATATCTCCTCCATTAGCCACAAATATCTAGAAGAAAAACAAAAATCACCCCTCATCAGACTTTGGACTTTCTCCCAAGAACCAGGAATTTTTGCTAAGCTGGGCCATCAATACATTATATTCAGTAGAATATAGGAAGGATCTAAGAAAACTAGAAAGGCCAAGTTTCATGTTGGATGTAGAACTAAGTAGAGGAGATGTGGGTAAAGACATTGAAAGATATTAGAACCAGGTGGTTGTATCTGAACTGGCCAAATAGCTTGGCGAGTTAAAGTTCATTTCCCCACCGTGTCTCCTAGGAGAAGAACCAGCTTGTCTAGCCCTGCACAGTCCCAGGACACCCCCAAAAGAAGGGACTAGTAAACCATTTCTGTGTATTTTCTACCTAGAAAACTCTGAAAAGAGTGGCCGTATGTCAGAATTGACTTGATGGCATGTAATTGCTACTGTTGTTGTATTTGCTTATGTAGCCTAGCATGCTGTTTCTCACTGGGGCAACCCACTATCTCAAGGAAGTTCACAAGTTAGGAGGATCTAAGAAGACTGGTACGTGC